TCGAGAAATTAGATCGGAAACACCGTGATCTTCGAGGGCGATCGCTGGAATTGCAAACGATCTCGAACCCACGAACTATGTCGATGACACGGTCACGTTTCTTTATCGTCTTTTCACTATTGCCATAGAGTATAAAATTGCCATTGGTTGCTGTGAATCATGTATTTCATATTTTACATTTAAAAGCTTGTTCGTCTAAGAAAGATTGCCCAAGGATGTCGTCTCATATAAACATAATCAACTTTGATATGGTTTTATTGCCTGGGGCTTTGTATTCTCCATCGTAATATCGTCCCTTGTATGGAACGACATGACTGAAAGGGTTCATTAGTTGCTCGAGTCGTTAGTATTACCAGCAGATGTGGCTGATTAATAGCGTGCTTCAGACGTCTAAACAGGATCTAATTTTGAACTATGTTCATAATTTAATTGTGATTATTTTGTCTAATTCGTTCGAGTGGGCTTCTAAAAGTACCCGAATTCCACAAATATCGATTCAAATAAGAATGAAAAGTCTGTATTGTTTCAGAAAGTGATCTCACTCCCTGAAATTGTGGTATTATGCAGATTCTCGACCGCTGACGTGAATTCACGTCACTTGAAATTCTATTCCTAAACCATACCAACAGCTGTTCTCTCGATTCATCGCCTGCTTCTCCTCTACGTGAAGAATGGCTCTTGCCGCAAAGGCACTGTGCCTCGGATCAACACTCTGACTGAGAATAACAGAGGACATATTCTACACAGCACACGATTAATACGGAAATTAATCGTTCCCTGGCCCCGACTTTCTCGATCTCTCGATACAAATGTCCTTGATCCCCGACCGGGAGAGTAGTTCCTCGTCAGGGAACGCAAGATCGCGCGATGACGCGTAATTACGCCGCTTCGCTCTGGTCTTAACACTCGACCGGTAATGGCCTCAAATTATTGTAATCCCCGACGATCGTACCGTTGCCGTAATTTACATCAATTCCATCCCGTTCCCTCGGCAACTTTACGAGACAGTCGGAGAAAAGACGTTCGCGCCTGCCGCTATGTGGAAAGAGACGCCAACCGGAAGACCGGAGAACTCTCGAAGGAATATTCATGCAAATCCGGGAGGAATATCTCCGCTATCGACAGTGAAACCGGTCACTCGTCGACCGATTCTCATTCTCGGGACTCTATCTCGATGGTCGCGTGCTGCTCGATGCACGAAGGAACGCGAGAAATAAAGATACGTCGAGGAAGAAGAGGAAGAGGACAAAGTTCAGGGTCGCGGATCCTTTCGAGGATCTAGGAGCATACCTCAGCGTTTGGACGTTATCCGCGTTGGATCTTGAAACGAAATAAAGATCGCCGGGAGGCTGCACGCGCTGATACCGGCTGCTGAGTCACGGATAGAGAAGGAGTGTCCCGAGTGGCATCAGTCGCGATTAGAGAGTGTAATTGCTCCGCGTGCGGTCCCGATCAACATTACCGAGGAGCTGTTGGTACATGGGAGGTATCGAAGTACTGGTTACTTTTCAATGGCGTTGATTAGAAAAGAGAGGTTAACCTCTGATGGGCTGGAAACCAAGAAAAAATATCCTTACGACACAAGAAGCTAGAGTAAAAATACAACTTGAAATGTAGGATGATTTAAGGGGGACTAGTTATTACTATCGTCGTATCTCTGACAGGGCTAGCTGGGAAAAGGATGGTTCCATTGTTTGATGGAAAATTGATTTTTTAATGAGTTATAGTTATATGAGTTATATGAGTTATATACTCTTCATCTGAATTACAAAGTGGGAAAACGTGGGACTGCAAGGAGAGGACCTCGAGGGCTTCTCGGGACCGAAGAGGTCAACTTGGACTTCTTCGTAGCCCCCTGAGATCTCAATCTCGGGTATAGACCCTGAGGAGGAAATGAAACGCAAACGGGATGGGTGTGGGAAGGGAAGGGGGAATTCTCTGAGCAGGGTGGTGCGTGTTTCTCGGATTTAATGGCGGAAAGAAGCGCAGAAAGGAAGAAGAAACCGGGAATAATAAAGAAGAGAAGATGCGTGGGGGTCACGGACGTTGCTGGTCTCGCAGCATCGTTTGTGAGAAGAATTGTTTGCATATATCCAGAAGCTTTGTAGAGTAACGGTTAGACATAACCGGACCAGCTATAAAACATCTCCGCGATTTAATCACGGGATCGAATATTATCGCAGTCAGTAACACCAGCTGGCCAGTGGCCCCTGCCTCGGAAGAAGGTCGCCGACCTCCAAGCTTTAGGCGATCCTCTGCACGGTTCGGCTCAACCAGGCCTCCACCCCTCGGCCCGCCAATGAAAACGGATCCCTATCAGCGGCATAAATTACGAAAACAATGGGACGAGAGTGTCCGACACACCTCGGAAAAAAAGCTGCCGCGTCGACTCGTTCGCCTTTGGGGCCTCGTGGATGCGACGTTGAAGAACCGAAACAGGAAGTCGTCCGACGCGTCTGACAGCGAGGTAAATAAATGACACCGCGACGCACGGGAAGGGCTGAAGACGAAGGAAAAGGGAAGAAGGAACGGGAGGTGCAGGATCTCTCGCGACGACTTCGAACCGACATCGACACGCCGCGGATCAAAACACAAAGAGGCGCGTACGCTAACAGACGGGGAAACGAAGAACCAGCTGCGGAGAAGAAAACGAAGAAACCCGGACGATTCTCGGACACGGCGCGGCCCGAGGACGGGTATCTTTGAACCTGGTGCTACCAGGGACAAATAAACGAGACGAGGCAAAAACGCGGAGCGATGGTCAAAAATGGGGGAAAAAAAGGTGGAGAGAGAGGCAAAGGAAAGAAGAGGGAGAGGAGTTTAAGGTCACGGACCTTCCTCGAGAGAGATCGTACCTCGGTGGATCGCGCAGATGATGCTGGTGCTACCTAGGAGAGCGTTTAAACTTGCTAATGGAAAAGACCGCCGCGCCGCCGGCCCCCGGGGCTATTTGAAAGCGACACGCCGCGCGGTCACGTAATTTACGCGTTAACCACGCGCGCTGATGGACACGCGGAAACCGTGGATATGCGGGGAGGTCTCGAGCAGGCGGGGGTGACGCCGGGGGCCTCTGATAATATCAATTGCGAGAGGTCAGAGATGACGAATGGAAAGGAAACCGCCGGGGAATTATCCCAGGGAAGACGCGAAACTGCCGGTCTACTCGTTAACGTACTAGAGGTGGATGAGTTGCGGCAGATGGAGGATGTTGTTGACTCTCTGAATTAACCCTTTGCCTGCGGGATGATTTTAATTGGGAATTCTAAGGCGGGGGGAGGGGGGGGACCAGTCGAATAGAATCTATCCTCGTTGAAAGGCTACAACTTTTCTAAACATTTAAAAAATGTAATTTTAAGCTCTGAATGTTTTAGCAAATATCTAACGAACGGGTAGTAGGGTAATAAGCTTAAAAACTCCATTTTTCTTTATATCTCCGGAATGGTTTATCAGAAAATCACAAAACACGATGACTTCTCTATATATAGAGCTGTAATGCTACTAGGCCTTAAAAAAAATTGTTGATACGCATAGCGATCGCTATGCTTTATATCTCAGGACAGGTTTACCAGAAACCAATGAAATTTGTAATGAAGCCTATACCTAATGCCATTAAACTTTCGAAAAAATTCACCAAGCCCATAAAAAGAATGATTCACTATTGGAAACGATAAAACTCGAAACATTCCAAATAAACAGCAAGTTGCTCGGCTACAGCGGCGCGGCGCCGCTATTAACGTCCGTATTCGATGGTAACCGCGGTCTAGGAGCTGCCGATCGAATTAGTTGTCGATCTAGTCGCGTTTATTTCCGTATCACGATTTACGACTGGAAATTCAATTATCCGCGGTGGAAACGATCGGGCAGGATACGCGGCGATTTCTTGTACGTGCGTGACTCGCGGCAGCGATAGACCGTTCTTTCTCATCGCGATAATGTAAACCGGTGGTTTCGGTGTATCCCGCGGACATTACTCGCGAACGGTGAAAGTATCTATCATCGAGTACCGCGAATAAACAGGGACCAGCCCCAGTGGGATATACATCAGCGACCGGTCTCTCGAGCGCGCGGTGTCGAGCTGGTCGCTTTTCAAGGTCGGGACGTTTACGACTTTATGGGGCAATTACCGTGGTATACTGCAAGTTAGTTTGCGGCTACGCCGGTCTGCTTCTTCTTCGTCCTCTTTTACCTCGAGCACGAGCAACGATCCTGCTGCGCCGCGTTTCCAAACGTTTTCTAACCCCTTTTTCCGAAACGTTCATCCATCGGCGCGCGATATCGCCTGACATTTTATACCGTTTCCTGCGAAACTGGTTCCTATATTCTTTCGGCTACTCGAATTACAATTTCCTGATACGGACCGACTTCCTGCTGCATCGAGGAACTTTCGACCAAAGTTTCGCGCACTTTTCCCTTCGAGCCAGATAGCGTCTCTCGTGCGAGCGGCTGGTGTACATTTCAATTAAAATTATTCATTTTTGACTTGTATGGTTAATGAAGCGTGTTTTTATGGTAGATAATGCGCGAGAGTAACGCAGAGTTATGGTCGAGGTAGTATTCATACGTGCATGGGAACTTTCGTATGAGTTGGGAAATTTTTCCCCCTTTTTTTTTTATACAGCGATGGAAGTGTCATGTTATAATGAAATAAAATAAAAACATTTCCAAAAATTAAATACATAGAATCATGTAACTGACGAGTACGTGAACCAACACATGTAAAACTAATAATATAATTACTAATTATAATAACATAATACACAGCTTAAAGGCCGTCGATATAAAATTAATAAATTAAAGAAACTAATAAAATAAGAAGAATAACTTGATTCCCCAGTCGACAATGATAAATATATTTACATCCTCGTACTTCCTGTAACAGAGTGCCTGTTGAATAAATAAAGAAAATAAAGAAGTTGCGGCATCAAGTGTGGGCTTTGTAACATGACTGAAACTCGTCTACGCGACAAATTCTAAAATTTCTTCTCGTTTGTTCGTTTCAGTTCAGAGCAAAGTGAGATGCTCCGAGCAGTGGATGGAGGTCGACATCGTGAGGAGCAGCCCACAGGCTAGTATATATCTCCAGCAGCTGAAGGAGTTTCCAGGTAAGGATCGATTCGTATTTCTCGCCAACCACCCCTTCCAGGATTACAACATTATCGATACACAGTGGAACGATTAGACATTCCAGGTGAAAAAAAAAATTCTAGATTGCTACATTTGGTTCATATGACTCTTAAGTAACTTGTTTTTACGTGAAAAAGGATTGTTCGGTTGGAATTTTAATCATTTTGAATAACTTTATCGATTATATTATATTATTACGAGTTGTACAATTAAATATGAACTAATGGTTAGAAGAATTTCTTTTTGTACAATATTATAATCAAATTGAAAAATGAATGAACTATATCCACCTATCTACCTATCTACCTATCTTCCTTCTCTTTCCTCGCTGTTTCTTTCGACACATTCCTCATCCATTCCATCCCTTCTCACCTTCATCCTCAAAAACTATTTCCAAGCTCACCAAAGATTATTGAATAGCATCTACCTAGTTATTAACCTAAGCATCTCTAAATATAGAGACGAGTTACAGATATACCTGTCCGATTGACATAATTTATTTCCACCTGAAATGTCCCACACACTCCACTGGTGTGTCCATGAACTATAAACTGAAACCACTGAAACGTATCTTGTTTTGCAGACGAGGCGTGCAAGGCCCGACTGAGCAACGGCGTCGCAACGTTCCGGTTATCGCTCCTGGAGGAGGACATATTACGATGCGGTATCACGAAAGTCGTTAACAAAGTCACGGTAGGACATAATTACGAGGTCTCATCGTGGATAACACGACGGGGATAGTGTACGACTTCCGAATAATTAAAATGGTCGATCCCCGTGATATAGTCGACGGCGATGCAGCCGTGATTTATGCAGCTCGATCGATTTTGTCGTGCCTCGAACGATAGGCCGTTAGCCAATTCACAATGAATTTACCATTCTTGGCACGTCTCGAAGCTCTTGGAATAAATTCTTTCCGGGTCTGTTGCCCTCCGAGTAAAAGTTGAGGATCGATTAATCTCAACGTGTGTCTGTCAGACAGATGTGCTTGCGAATTTACATGTAAAGTGGTAATACATTTATTATACATATGAAGATACACAAAGGAGGCTTGATTTCATCGACCAAAATTAATTCATGAATATGGGAGTAGTATATGTACAGGTATATATACTCGTATAGCAAACAAAGTATACGCAACAAAGTTTGAAAAAATGATTATTGAATTTCTCACGAGTCTACCAGACACACGTCATTTATTAGGCAAGCAAAAATAGACCGTCTAGACTAGGGTTAAGCTCGGATCCAGTGAAATGAAAGTGAATCGTAGGCGATGAACGTACGAGAATCGATTCGCTAGGCGAATAAGGATAAGTTGTCGCGGCTTGAGCCATTGTTTTCCTGCATAGGAGTATCCTATGGATTCGAGCGATACTATAGACGCGTAATTGCATTGTACAGGGTCAGAAAGTGTACTTCCATCGAATAATAGTGGAGGAGCCCGTGGATTCCAGCAAGCACACATTCACGGTAAAGTGTGTCATCACCGAGGTCCTCGTGAAGCCTAGCATCTCGGTCGAGTCCAATCACACCACGGTTCGACGCAGCGTCTTTCCAGCAGGCTTTCAGGAACCAGAGTGAGTTGTTTTTTAATGGTAGACCATAAGTAAAAGTAGGAGTATTCGAATAGTTTGTTGATTCCAATATCTGATACGTGTTCGATTGCTGCCAAGTAAAGTTTCGCTATTATTATTCGACTCTTTCCATTTAAGTATTAGTATCGGAGTATCGCTGTTCGAGTACTACCGTTAGAGTATCATTATGTGAATATCATTTCGTAAGTGTCGGTATTCGAGTATCACTATTTGAATAGCATTCTTTGAATATCACTATTCGAGTATTAGATTTTCGGTGTTTCGAATGTTATCATTCGAATGTATATCAACACTAGTGCTATTCGAAAACAGAAAAATTGCCCGAGAAGTCGCAGCACTAATCATGAGTCGTTTATTCGTTGCAACATTTGCGAGTGCAGCGACAAAGAGCGGAGCAGCTGTTGAACGCGGCTGAGCGATTCTGCACGCGCAACAGTTGCGTCTCTGCCCGTCGAGGACAGTTTCAACTAATAGACACTAGTAGACAGTAAATAGCATAGAAAAATAATAGTTGAGACCTTCCTCGGAGTCTTCCTTTCATTCGTGTTACTCAGGACTGTACGAAGCATTTCCTTCTCGTCTGACTGTTCCAGACTGTGGTGCAAAAACAAATCACTTGAACACTGATATTAACTGTATTATAAGAAGATTAATTTCCAATTGAATCTACTAACAATAAGTATCCTCGCAGGAAAACGAAAAGTCGAAGGATACATTATACTGTAGGAGTCTAACCGAAAAATGAGGCACGGGGATTCGAAGCCACGATCCTCGCGGATCCACAGTCGACCGCTTTTACCTACGCGACCAATCCCGTACCCTACGTTTCGTGTTCTTATTTGACTCCTTATTGTTGGGTATGGGAGGCGCGGACACTACAATACACGCAATGTTACCTCTTCGCCACGAACAAACCAACTAAATACCTCAGATTGCCAGCGCATGTACCATAACGGTAATAGTTCCATCCACGTGCATATTATTAATATTAGGAATATAGCGTCATTACTATACGGTAGAAAAAAGTTGCCAGTTTTATTACACAACATAGCAAGTCATTTTCATAACCGTACAATTTTCTCAACTGTGTATGAGTTTCGTTAGTAATTACTAGACTGCAGATTTTAAGTATTTATGGCATATGCAAATATGTAAAACATGCTTAACGTATACAGAATGTATACCTCTATGGCAAAATGAAATATTATTATTATTATTATGATATTATTCTATAAAACGACATTCTGCATATGTTTCCATACATCATGAATGCATAAAATGCGCCGTCTAGTAATTGCAAATAGACACTGCAAGGGCCTAATAGTAGGCACTCTTATTTTGTTTTCTATTAAAAAGTTCACTTAAACTGCTTTCGTTAGACTAAAACTTACCGTGCCACGTCCAACGTGACGTCTATGATAAAAATGGAAATGACACGTGCGAAATGACACATTAAGTAGTTCATTAAGGGCTAAGGTAGCAACAGAAGAGGGTCGTGAAAGCTAGGCGAATCATAAAGCAATGTAACGTCACTTCGAAGTACACCATCATCATCCAAGCCCCTAGAGTGCCGTTAATGAATCGATGCCAGTCATTCCGTATGCAAAGTGGTTTCCAAGACCCATTCTGCGATTAAACGAGAACTCTGAGCAAGACCTCGTTGACATTGTCTCGAGATGAAAACATTAAAACCGATATAATAGAAACTCGCGTCGGCGTCGTTTCGACAGTCGTGATCATCATCGAGTCGACTCAAGGTTTCACGATCAATTTATTCATTCGAGACTATATAGCGAGCAGCTGCTGGAAAACCTGAAATGTAATTTTAGCTTCGAACACGTCGCGTCACAGAGTCTTCTCTCCTTTTTCCACGCGCTCGATAAAACTCACTTCGCGAGTCATTCGTATTCCCCGTGTATCCGCAGCAAAAAGTCCCAGCATGTCGGCGCTCAACCATCCGAGGGGATCCTTCTTCCACACCTCCAACATGGAAATTGTCGTCTACGAGGTACTAACGATCCTGTCGAAGGGTCCTCGAGGATACGAGCATTTCAAGTCGAGGGAGTTGAATCAAAGACTCGAGAAGTTTGAACAGAACGAAACTAACAGGAGCTTATTAACGACTGTTGGAAAAGTTCTGTGCCGGTGACAGGATTAAATAGGAAATTTCATTCAGGTATATTTTTGCCATTTTCAAGAATAACAAGACCAACTACTTTATTTACTATAATTGATTACGAATACATTTTCTTGGTTTCCATAGCCACAGAAAGATTCCTAATAAAAATTGGAGGCGAGGCGAGAGTTTCTCGTCGAGAGGTGTAGATAGGATGCGTTCCCAAGCGATCGGTTGCCAAATTGTGATTTACGCGCGTGCTGGCCGCTTGTTTGCATACCGTCCGTTCAGGAGACAGATGGCAGAGAAGCCGTAATGCAATTTTAACTTGGCAGCGAGCGGACGGCTGTCGCGCGGGCTCTTCTCGTCCTGTTCCGTCCTCGACGAAACTCACTTCTCGCCGTGGCGACATTCTTCCAGTATATACTTACACACAGGGAAACTCGACAAGGGACTCGCGATGGAATTTTTCTCCCCGTTCCTGTTTTGCGGTTAAGCTAATTTATTGGCACTAATCGATCGTAGCTCGCGACGACTGTCCCGTGGATTCCTCGGATCCCCCGATGTCGCCTCGCGACCAGGAAGCCGTAACAAGCCTTTATTGTTGAATTATCGCGCGAGAGACGATACCACGGGGTCGAGAGCCACGCACCGCGAGGGAAATTCTTTCTCGATCTTGATAACTGTTTCTGCTTTCACAAAGTCGATGGGAATTGCATGCACGGCCGATCGGATGCGTTCATCGCGATTGGAGATCGCTGCCGCCGCCACGCCGCGCCGGCTACATTGAGGAACGATCGACCACTCGAGAAATACTTGTGATACCCTACGGTCGCGACGTTCATTTACATCCATTCGATCCAACGTTGATTATTGTTATTATAATTATTATAACTCGTGAGTTGCAGTCACTCGACGCACGGGATGCTCGTCGTAACGAAATGGTCGGACGTCATGATTCTCGGGACACTGTCAATAATCGTGGACGAAAAATCAGAATAGGAATGGAATACAAGTTAATTAGCATTTGATCGCTGACGGAGAACGATATTAAAAATTGTCCAGAATTAAGTTTATCGTAGGTTATTTCATCCATTCACCTAATAGTATTCACCACTTGCTGTTCGCAGTGGGCTCGCTAGAGGCCAAACGGGAACCTCCATTGCCTTTTTTTCCGCCCTCTTCGTCATCGTTCCGTGACTTCAGTACCGTTTAGAGCTCGCACCGTTCAATTTGCGGGACGCACCATTCCGCGGAAACGACGGATGATTCTGCAGAAGCGCACCAGTGACTCAGGTTGACGTTTAGAGGAGTCTACGAGTGTCGAAAGTAGCCCAGGTCGAACAGAGTTCCTTTATAACTGTCCACCGGTCCATGCAGATCATCGGGATTTGCTCGTTGGCGTTGTCGCGGGATGCCATTCGTTCGATTGTTTTTGCACGGAAATTACATTCGCACGCATCTTTCCGTTCGCCAGATTGCAATGTTCTAATGCTAATCTAGCCTTCCCGCGAAAGGAATCATTGTAACGCGATTGAAAAGATTCGAAGGAAATTCCTTGAAACGATTTCCTTTCGTTCTGGATTTCTTGCACCAACCCTGAGTCATGGTGATTGCATGCAACGGGACCTCGTACTACACGTATTATTGCTTTGGGTAAACACCGTGTGTCGTTTGATCTGTTATTATTTACTCTAACAACTAGCTGCTAGCTGTAGGAGGCTGCTTGAAAATTGTTGAGGATAACAAAACTTCTCTCGAGGAGAGATAATATATTTTCGTTTTTTATTTATTTTGTTTCATCTATTATTATTTACTCTACCGACTGTACGAGGCTTGTTTGAAAACTGTCGAGGATAACAAAACCTCCTTGAACAGACACATATTAAATATACATATTTAATGTAGGCTCTGTAAACTTCAATAACAGATTGGCTCTCTAGTGTTGTTGCTTTGATAAACATCGTGAGTCGTTTGATCCATTATTATTAACTCTATTGTTTGTGCAAGGGTTGTTTGAAAATTGTCAAGTTGGAACAGAAGATTCATGAAAAGAAATAATATGTTCATTTCATAATGTAGGCTCTGTAGACTTGGATAACCGGTTTGTACCCTGGTGTTGTGGTTTTAAACTTAAGAAAACTCCAAGAAGAAAACGTCCTTAGCAACGCTGAAATGAAGACTGGATGTTGAATAGGTCTTTGAGTGCTCGATGAATCGGACAGGGAAGAAAGGGCTAGTTATTGCAACTTGGAGTCTCCTGACTTCTTTTCTATGGGAAGTAGATAGCTTCTTCAACGAACTAGAAGGTTATAGGCATCGTTGAACCTTAGAAACTCCTCTGTGTCCTGTGTGAAACACTACTACATGGAAACTTCGACATATGTCGTACATCAGTATTGTAACGAAGTTGTATGAAACTTGACTTGATAAAACTGAGTAACAGCTACCAGATTTCCACTTTTCTTGAATATTCTCTCTTGCGAAGATAACTTTTTCGGAAATAGATAAAAGTCGTAGTATTCTATATATATACTTCGATACACGTTTCGTATCAATTGGATAAATATTTTTAATTAATTTCAATTAATATTCAGAAAATGATGTTGAAACAACTCTTATGGCGCGAATTCTTTATAGTTATTATTTTTAATTATATACTTGGTGATTTACTGGTGATAATGATATAAATATTTGGCGAAGTAAGCCAGTTTAGCTTCCGAGACCCATATTAGAATTTTTCAAAAATACATTGTAATTTCATTGAAAAATTGTAAGATAAATGAACTTGTCTATTCGTGGGTTGTCTAAGCTTGACATTTAATCTGTATCGTTTGTTTGTTTGTTTAGCATGGTTGAGATTAGGGGCGAGATCTCCGAGTCAGCGCCAGTCCCGATCTTAGGGGTTGGCGTCAGGCAAGGCGGCACCCTAGTTACTGGAGAGCTGAACGTCAGTCCAGGTACACCTCTGCAGATGGAAATCTTTTTAGACAACCACTCTGCACCAGTTTATGGTCTGTTGGTCAGCTACATGTTGGTCACTGACACCAAGTCACAGGAGGAAACCATAATCATTAATGGGTAATATGACATAATAGCGACTCTTCTAATTACTCTTAGACATGGATTTAGCTCTTAGACGGGAAAAAATTTACTTTTATTCTCTAAGAAGTTTGTTTTTCAAGAAAAGTATGTGTTGTATACATCTGCTATTATAATATTACATATACTAATGCGAAAGAAATTTGTTTTCAAGTTATTCTTAGTGTTCGATTAAGAAATCATGTAACCATATCTACCATACCTAAGAATGAAATCTTCCGACATTCCAAAGGTCTCATATATTGATTTTACACGATCTGTTTGCCTTTAGGTGCTCCGTGGATCCCTATCTCTTCGAGAACTTCAACACCGTGGACGGAGACTTCCTGACGGCGAAATTCCGGGCATTCAAGTTCCCAGAAAGCACATACGTTCAGTTTCGTGGCACCGTGAACGTCTGTTTAGACAAGTGCCAAGGGGTATATTGATTCTTGCCTGTCGCATGCTCGCAAACTCCGTTTAGTTTAAGTCGGTGCTGTCTACAAGAGCCTCTTTCGCGTCTTATCATTCTTCGCTACGTGACATATTACGCTTTTTAATTGACTGTTAAAACTTGTTAGGGATTCACGTGTGTATTAAAAAAAGTTATCAAGTTGCAGAAATTCTAAGACAAGTACACTATACAGTTTCTGATAGTTGTAGAGAACAAGAGAGATTAAAAGAAGAAATTACGAACTCTATCGAAGTTTTAGTCAGTAATTACAAGGCTTGTAATTGACAAATAGACTTTATAGTATATTGTAATATGAACAGCACTAGCTTGAACCATCGAATATTTTAGATGCATTCGTGTGCTAATTCTTTGGACCGTTTCAGATTGAATGCAGCAACGGCCGAGTAGGCTTCGGTAGAAAGAAGAGGGCCATAGAAGTCTCGAATAGCGACAAAAACAAGATCTTCGAGGTGACCATGTCCACGTTCATCAAGGTCGACTTTGAAGATGACACTGTGGTTGACGAAGGTAATACGATCGTTCATTCTAGCTTTCGATATTGTTAAAGACACTGATAGAAAAATAGAGGTTTTTGGAGACTTACTAACAAGGGGAAGATACCAAGTGTAGGTGACCGATTTCGATGTGCTTTGGTACAGACCTTCTTTATCGAAAACTACTGTATTTCAGCCATGTTGACGCATTACCATGGTGTTCTCTCTTAAGACAGGAAAATCTTATTTTTGCCTCGGTGTTTCTGATATTATAATAATTTAATGAAAAATCAGCCAACTGGTTACCTTCCACAGCTCTGTCGCAGTTGTACATCAGAAAGGGGAAGAACAGGACGAAAGCCAGGGCAGCGATCGCGAAGGATGTGATAGAAAATACAGGTTGGACGACGATCAGAACGGAAGAAGGAGCCATCATAAAACAGGAATTTCACGAACTGTCCGTATACAAGTCCATGGGTACAGAGAATGGTTCCTCGTGTAGGACGTTGTCTTTCGCCATCGGGCTTCTTCTCCTCTATCTTTGCAAGCTCTTGTAGAATTTAAGGGGAACAGTTTCGATAACTGACGAATAATCGCCAATTGTAAATAAAAAGCAGCTTGAGAGCCGGCTGGATTCGAGGCTACCACCGAGAAAAGGGGACCGAATTTCTTGCTGGTTGTTAGTATAATTCTTTTCCTTTACGCGTAGAGAGAAACGGTGAATTTGGATCCCGTCCAATTCGTGTGATATCGAATCGAAATGGAACGCGATCTGCTCCGATAGACGCATGGGTTTTTTGTTGGACAATGGTTCCCAACAGCTGTCCGTGAACGAAAATTTGTAATTAGTGAGAACGCTTTGTTTGCAAACGAGTCGTCAAACTTCCTCCGGCACTAACGATAACATTTTATTCGTTTCTAAAAGTACTCGTACGCTTCACCAATGTGGACCTTGTAAAAAATAATTAATCTATTTTATTCCTAACAAGTTATTGTGAAATTTTGTTATAGTATAACATAATCTTCGCTGTTGAACATTTGGAAACTAGACATCATCTAGGTAGAAAAAACTATTTAAATACAAATCGAATGAGGATACTTTCTCTCTAGCCATTATTCGATGGGTTCGAATTTCCATGAGTCTCGAATACACGAATAAAGATAGCAAGATGAAGAACATAAAACGTTGGTTGATTAAACAAGTATCTTCACTCGTCGAATGCATCTACTTCGAACAATAGATACTTTTCAATACTTTTGATAATTCTTTGAAAATGTGTGCCTTATAAATGGCAGCCTCTTCCAAGTGTGTCATGACGTTAAAAATGTTGGGAAGCACTGTCATCGGGAGAAAAATTGCGAAGATTACGAGTTGATTTTAGGGTTGACATGAAAGAAACCGTGCTCAAGAAACTTCTCCGCTTTGCGACCGCCGAATTTTCCAAATATTTCTTCGGAATTTCCTTCCTCCTTGTTCTTGTTAATTTTTTCACAGGATAATAGCTTGATAATAAAGTCTCTGTCGTTGACAGAGAAGAAAATTGGCCTTTGCGAGCGGAGAATTCCGGGTACCTAGTCGCGCGACGAACTGTAACATCGCGCTACTACTTAAGCAGTAGTATAGACGATCACGAGGGTAATTAATTGCTGCTATAATCACGACGTAATTATAACGGAAACGACGCGCAAGTGTAAAATAGGTATTAATGAAGCGAGAGTGAAACGCGAAGAAACTTGTTCGTTCCAGGAGTGAATAAAAACTCGCGTAAAGACATTAAAAAAATTCATATGTACTTGGAATGTTTAACACTCATGTATACAGGACAATTCCGTATAAAAATATATTAATATACCTTTGGCTTCGAGTAATATCAGATACAGAGTAACGATTACGAGATTGGGGTTACACCAATGTTTTTCGATCTTTTCATAGCGCAATTCTTTGTTCCCACTCAACGTAAAATTATCAATGAAAATGTAAAGTGATTGAAAAATGATGGCACTTACATTACTTGAAAAAAGAACGGGTCATCTTTGCATTTATTTAAGGGTTACATACCTTCTCAACTTCGGGCGAATTTATCATTTCTATTTATTAAAAATTTTTTGTTTTTGTGGTATTAATATAAACATGTATTTAATAATATATAATTAAAGTTATGCACTCTTTATCTCACATGACGGAATCATGGAGACTATAAAGTCACTGTTTCTTTAAGGACCTAATATTTGTTATTATTGTCTAAAACCAGACAAACCTTAACAAACCTCTAAAAAACTAATTTCTACAATTTTAAAATTGTCAGAGTTGAAAAGGTATGTAAGTATTTATCGTTTTGTCACTTTACCACTAATTTATGTTACATGCGGAAAATTCCAAATTTAGTTTCTGGAATGGGTGCGTTAAGCGCTGCGGATAAACTGAGGCCAAGCACCAACCTGGTGTTCACGGGATCAATAACGCCATCATCCCAAAGTCTGAAAACAACATGAATTTTTATGGGATCCGAAGAGAAAAATATACGGGATCTATACGAGATGAACCTTACCTAGCACTGGAGTAGTACGGGCTACTCTCCCTCTCGAACTTTTCTATGATCGGTCTCTTCAGAGCCTCCTCCTCTTCCTTAGTCCACTGTTAAAATCATCGAAAGAATAAAGTTGAATAAATCATTTATATCATTTTAGGCATAGTTCATAGCTCATTCTACAAGAGAATGAGAACCTCTCGATTTGAAGAGAGCCTCCTTTGATCTGGTAACTAGATAGGAACAATGTACATAAATTTCTCAACTCTACAATCGATGATCATCGTGTCAAACAAGATGAGTCTCGATATTAGACCAGTCCTCGTTCCCTTTACTTATAGGTCACATTTTTCTTAAATCTTTCCAAGCTCCTGGCATACCTCTTTCCCTTCTCGCTGACGTTGTTCCCTGGTGATTTGAACCAACACTCCAGCAGCCTGTTCACCTCCCATCACAGATATCCTGGCATTCGGCCAGGAATAAAGGAATCTCGGGGAATAAGATCGGCCGCACATGCCTGCGTTAAATTCATGAAAATAAACAGGAGTATCTATTGAATTTCGATTGAAAATAATCGTTTATTAATTGTACCGAAATTCCCTGCCCCATACGATCCTCCAATCAACACCGTAATTTTTGGTACTCGGGCACAGGCTACAGCGGTCACCATTTTCGCTCCGTTTTTGGCAATGCCACCAGTCTCTGCATCCTTGCCCACCATAAATCCTATAATTTCACAAAAACTGTATTATTTGCATGAAATGTATGAAATAAATTTTGATCTACAAGTAACAAATAACAAATAAATTATGTATAGCGTTAGATGAATCAACATTCTTTTAATAAGAATTGTAATTGTTGTTTGACATTCAAATTTTATTATTTATTATTTGTTATTTAAATAAAAATTTATTCCACACTGATCCGAAGGTGTAAGCTCAGCCGTGTTAGTAGCAATTTATGACTGTATTGTGGCTATTATACTTGATGATAAAGGTACGTGAATTACAATTTACGAATAACTAACAATATGTAGAAATTAACTACATAGTACTAATAACTAAATAGTTGAAATTAAAACTTCTATCATTTTGAATAAATTCGAAAATATTACTCTTATGAACAAATTAAAAATGTTTGTTTATATAAATAAATAAAAAATTTCTATTCTGTATTGAAAATAAAATTTGACCAGTTTACAGGCGTTACCTGTAATATTCTGCAAGAAGATGAGAGGTATCTTCCTCTGCGCGCAGAGTTGTACAAAATGCGCACCTTTTAAGGCACCCTCTGAGAAAAGCACGCCATTGTTTGCGAGTATTCCTACGGGATAACCGTATATTCTCGCAAATCCCGTGACCAGTGTCTCGCCGTACTGTGCCTTGAATTCGCGAAACTTTGATCCATCCACGATCCTCGCGATCACTTCCCTGACGTCGTAAGGTCGTTTCAAGTTCACACCAACGATACCATAAATCTCATCGATCGCGTGCACGGGTGGTTCCACTTTTTTTGTAACGTTCACATGCATTGGTCGCTGTCTATTCAAGTCTTTAACAATTTGACGAGCTAGGTACAGAGCGTGGCTGTCATCTATGGCGTAATGATCGGTCACACCTGATGTCCTAAGACCAAGTGATTACAATTTATCGAGTATAAAATAACGGCTTGTATAACGTTGATAAAATGTTTATACATATGAAATTTAGAAGAAATAACAGATAAAAAATTGTTCACCTGCCATTCGTTATTTGAAATCTTTATCTGGATAAATAATTTGCTCGTCTCATTAATTACCGACAATGAAGCGCTGCGCCGCCTAAATCCTCCGCGGAAACGTCCTCACCAGTGGAAGCCTTTACCAAAGGTGGTCCAGCCAAGAAAATCGTACCTTGTTTACCAACTATGATGTTCTCGTCAGCCATAGACGGTACATACGCGCCTCCTGTACACATCGATCAAAATGGTTAAATATCTCCGGAGAAGATGAAACTATCGCAACAAATTTCTTAACAAAAATAATAATATATATTATTAATTTGATAAAACGCGAACGAACTGATCGCACAATCTATTTAATATAATCGTTGTGCAAAAAAGTCTTAAGTAGAAGAAGCGTGCAATAGTCAGACCTGCAGTGCAGCTCCCCATAACTACCGCGATCTGCTCGATCCCCTTTGCGCTCATGTTTGCTTGGTTGTAAAAGCATCTGCCGAAATGCATTTTATCCGCGAACACGTCATCTTGTCTGGTCAAATTCGCCCCGCCACTGTCTACTAAATATATGCAGGGCAAATTATTCTCCTCCGCGATTTCCTGGGCCCTTAAATGCTTCTTTACCGAGATGGGGTAGTAAGAGCCACCCTTCACGGTCGCATCGTTCACGATTAACACACACTCGGTCCTGAGATGATGAAAGTACTTTAACGGCGAGAACGCAAAATCGTGTAAATTGTGCACGTCAATTACTTTGGACGCAAACAAAAAATCATGAAAATTGCCACGAGATGAGTGAAAATAAAAAAGCAATCTCTGAATCGAAAATTCAATGATATTTACCCTTCCACTCTCCCTATGCCAGTTATAACGCCACCAGCTGGTACTTCCTCTTTCCCGTACAATTGATAACCAGCCAATTGTGAAAATTCAAGAAACGGGGAAGTTCGATCGAGAAGCGTGTTAATTCGCTCTCGTGGCAAGAGTTTGCCTTTGCTCGTGTGCTTCTGTCTCGCTTTCTCTCCTCCACCATCCGCGATTTTTTCGACAGTCTTCTTCAATTTGCGCACTATATCTTCCATTTGAAAGTAATTCTCCTAAAAAAGAAATCTTTTCCTCGGTTAGACGCGAAACCCCACGTAATATAACCCGCGGTAAAGAAACGACCTACATATGTATATGTATAGAATTAAATTCTTATCACTTTGGTCTTTTTTTTTTTGAACTGTTTCTGAAAATATATATCTCTGCATCTTGGCAATTTTATTCAGTTTTAATAGTTCTATATTCTTTTAAGGTAACTTTGTTTAGAAAAAGAAATGAAAAAAAATAAAATTGGTTTTAAAAATATACGTGGCTTTCGAAGCACATATTTATAACTTGACAATTTTTACTGAATTTAGATGGTTACATTTTCTAATTTAGATCCTGTACGCAATGTTTAGTTAAAGAAACCTTTGTCATGGGTTAAAAATTACAATGTATTCAAATTTCAGCCAAATAAAAAATATGAAAATAAAAAGTATCTGACTTTGGCATACGTGGCTACTAATCACATGGTAATGGTAATCATGTCGTCAGGTCGGTACTCTCCGCAGTGTTCAAATAAACAACTTTCATTTATCATACTCAAAAAGTAATAAAACAAGTTGTGTAGTTTATATCGCAGTATTCTATTGTGCCCTTTTAAAAGATACTGAAGATATCAGAGATACAAAAGTAAAAAACATTAAAAGAATTTCGTTTCTTAGTAACGAGAAATGTGTTTCATAATTCTAACCTGATAATCTGACGAGTTAACATCTTGCCTGCTGCCGATAATGTTCGCTTCATCGTGGAATGTTTTTGCAATTAAGCGCAAGTGCCTAGTTAACAAACTATTCTTTCGCCACATCGTTTACCGATTTTCAACTATCAAATAACCTCGATGAAACTCGCGCACATTCACAACAATACGTTTCACGATCTTCATGTAATTAATCACACTGTTTACTCATAGAATTCTGATTAGAAATTAAGTTCAAAACCTTATGCGAGTTGTTTACAGTTAAGGCAGAGATAATGTTTATCGAGAAGAAATTTAGGAATGAAGTGAACTTTTCAAATTTGTATTACACCAAGTTGAAGTAGTGAAAATCCGTTTCTTCGTGTATTTTAGTTAGAAAAAGGTGAACTCTGATACATTGATTACGAAATTCCTCTTACACACTACAATATAAAGTTATGATATTGA